CAGAGCTAATTCCACAAGTCAAATAACTTTAAATGGCAGTTGAGGAAAAACATTAGCAAGGCAGAGTGCTATTTAATAATAAAAAAAAGCCTATTGAAAGTTACAAAGTAATCAGATGTCAATTTAAGAATGCATTCTTAAGAGGATAGAGGAAAAGATGCCGTACGTAATAAGCATCTTTGAAAAATAATGTCCTTTATATGTAAGGGGAATCTTCATCTGTTTTCTTCTCGCATTTTGTAAAAATTATTCCAAGTTTTTACACTGAATCTTTTAGAAAAGACCACAGCAAATATGAACAAAAAAGAAAAAGCAATCTATTGTAGTAAAACAGGTATTATATTTCAGTAATGTGAATGTTAGACTATAAACAAGGAGTTTACAAATGTAGATGCTATTAGAAGAGGCTAACAAAGTATTAGCACCTCTCTTGATGTGTAGGAACCATAAACTCCAATTGCATCCTCTTATAATCCACACAAAATTAATTTCCAGAGAATGTTATGTCAGTATGTCCCATATGAAACTACTGTGGTCCCAAGAAGGGATGTAATCTGTTTGCTAGAAAAGAACAAAAGCGAAAATGAAGTGCTTTTCTAAGCTCTAACTTCTGGTAAGAAACAGTTACTTTTTGTGCTAGTAAGAGTATTTTCCTAATGGGCAAAACCAACTCAAAAGAAAAGTTCGGCCATTATGGTTTAGTGTGTAATCTGTTGTTTGTTTTACAGAAGTGAAGATGCAGTCAATCAGATGGCTGTTACTCCTTTCCCGTTACCTTCCAACTCCCACTCTTCTATTGAGGTAAGGTTTGTGGGTTGTTTTTTTTAATTAGGGGTTGCTAAATTAGATTCATCATAATTAGCAGTTCATTATAAATTTGAGCACCTTGTCTAATTAAACCCTGAATCATAAAATGCATTGGGTAGGAACTTGACCTAACAGGCATATTTTCCCCTGTCTCTTTTTTTATTGATCTCATAATTACTGAAAGGGCTGGCATGGTATTAACGCCAAGTATTAAACAGGTTATTGCTGTACAGGAGGAAGAAAAGTCTCCAAATGAAAACCTTGCCATCTCCTATCCTGCTCCTCTTTCAACTAGTTAAGAGTAGTTGTGGTGAGGATCTTTTGCCTGGAACAGTCATTTTACCTCCTACAGAAATGAAATTAGCATTTTTCAGGGGAAAGCTCCCACCTTCTACGTTCGTTTTCCCCCAGAATGCCCTCCCATCAGTGTCTCTCAAAACCAAGTAGGTATGACCAGCAACTAGCTGTGGTAAAAGAGGTCACTGTGTACATGGTTTGCGTTACAAGAGCCTCTTGAGACAATCCCAGCCTAACTGAGAGACCTAGTCCACCGCTTTGTCCTGTGCCGCAGCATCGGACTGTCTCATTCCTGTTCATTTTTTTCCTGTAGGAGCAGACAAGGGCTGTTTAAGCAGGGAGCTCTAGTACACAGTGTTGTAGCATACAATCTTCCAATGCAAAAACTTCCTTAGTATGGTAATGTCACCAATGTTTTTCTTCATTATAGTTGCTATCTAAGCCCCAATGTAGACTGGTTCCTCTCTTGTGCATTGTGAATCCCGGCAATGTCACCACATTGTTATCATTTTGACATCTCGATATGGTGTAACTAAATTTTCTAGATAAAGTACATGGTTAGGCTTGCTGTTGCTTTTTAATTCTATTTCTGTTTCAGCTAATAAAACAAAAGATGTTTTATAATTCAATTGGGGTTTGGTCTTGCCTTGAATTGACAAATTCATGTGCATTGAACTCCTGGTATTTCAATAAGCATTAGTGTGATCCCACAGCACTGGTCCATGCTAGGTAATGCTGGATGAATCTCCTGTTCTCACAGTTGCTATTGCTTTCCAGATTGTATTACCACTGATGGCTACTTCCATACAGACGTAGTGCTGTACCGTGCAAGAGCTGCTTAGAGTTTGTTTGAATCTGAGTCATTTTTGGATAGTGCTTTGGCCTTTCATTTTCTCCTCCATAAAAGCAGCATGTCCCAGGTGCAGCTGGTGGATTGAAAATTACTTTACAATTTACAGAGCCCAAGTTAATTTTATTTTTGTTGACTCTTTAATACCTGCATTTGTTCCCAGCTTTCTTTAATATTTGTATCTTCAGGATGAACCACGAAGCTTTGTTTAGGCACATTCTGCGCTATGGTCAAAGGCCTGTAATTAGACTCTGCCAGCATGGAAATCAAAGCGCTCAGCCTCATGTGCGATGTTTGCCTTTAGAAGTAGATACTTGTGAGTTGTTTCATGCATTAATGGCAAGCTCTTACTGTTTGCGTGTTGTCTGTTTTATAAGTAAATGCAGGTTTTTACTTCTAGCTGGTATCTTTTTATTGTATAAAATAAACGTAACCAAAAGATACTGTTGTTGTATAGAAATTTACATTGCTTTCCTTTGTCAGCTGTTCCTGTCTTGAAATAAAGCAAAACAAAACTGACTGTGCATTATATCTTGAAATTATATCTTCAAATATCTTTGAAATAACAAATAAATATTTAACATCGTGTGTTACATACACTGTACGTGAAACTTGTCAGATCACATTAAAGAGCCTGGCCAGTGGAACGGAATACCAGGATGCCATAGTTACCATGTACTATTGTGTTAATTTCCAGAAAAGATGCCATTTCCTATCTATCTTAACTTTAATTGTTGGTATGGGAAGGAAATAATTTTTCTTGCAAGTGTATGCTTCTTAAATATATGCTAGTTATTATCTAGAGAAAATACCAGAAAATCCTGATCAGACAAGCTTTTTCTACTTAGTATGATGCTATTTTATGTTTCAAGGGCCATTTTTGTTGGGAATCCTCTATAGAAAGAGAAAAACTTCATGCGGGAGAAAGTTCTGGAGCACATCTTGGTGAAAATGCTTATGTCTTTTGGGTCATTACCTTCATTTGCTGGCTCTCCAGTAGTTGTCATTGAATGTCATTTGCAGTGTTCTCACAGTAATATGCAGAAGTACCCAAATCCTGAGGCTGCATTTGCACTTCAGGTTGAGGATTGTGCTGCAGTGCTGGCTTTAAGCCTGCTGAGCTTGGTGGCCACGTGCTCTGACCAGAAGAGCTTCAGCTTTACCGATTCCTCCAGGGTGGAACACTCAGTCGTGATACTACCGACCTGTTCAGATTGTATGAAAGAAACTGGGCTTCCTTTAACATGCTGAGCATGCGTGAGACTCTCCCTCCCGACAGAAGTCTGAAGAAGACCTCTTAATACAAACTCAGTATTTTTCATAGTTGATAGGGATTAGTCTGGCCTTGAACATTGACCCAGGTCTGCACCTGAGTGCTAGGATTGGTCTACCTTGTGGAACTTGGGGCTGGCCAAGTGGAGACTAAGGTCTGTCTTTCAAAACTTGTATCGCTTATTTATTTCCTGACATTAGGATGCTTTAATTGTGGATCTTTTTACTTTTTCATGCTGCTACTTGTTTAGAAAAACAAAAGAAAAGGTAAAATTGTCTAATTTTTTTATTTAGCTATTATGGAGGTCATAGCTCTGTTTAAAAACTATTATCCATGCTTTCTACCAGGATCATGGTGGCACTGAACCTGCAAGCAGCGAAGAAGACCCGAGTTTGGAAGTTGTCATGAAAAGCTTGACTGATGAGGAATCCAACAAAGCTGTAAGTGACTTAAAGCGGTATTTAATGATGATTAGAGCTTAGAAAATGGAGGCTTATTAGCTTGATTTGTTTTCTCTCTGCCTTTGTGTTGGAGTATTAAAGCACACTTTTGTCAAATAATATCCAGTACATTTAAGAGCAGAATCAAGCTCTTAGCTTTATATACATAGACTGTTTTCATGAACTAACCAGTCAGTATAATTTGTTAAAATATTGAGATAAGAGTTTTTCTTTAGCATTTTGGCCTTCTCTTGAGTTCTTTCTCAGTGAAGGGATTGAGTTTCCACTCTTGCCATCCATGTGTGACAAACTTCAGAAAAAAGTATGCTCTGTAAATCATACTCTTATTTATATTCATAGCTTCATAAATTCTAAGGCCAAAATGTCTATTATCATAATCTAGTCTTGCCTCCTGAATAACATAGCTATAGAGTTACTCTCAGTAATTTCTACATCAAGCCCATAACTTCTGTTTTAATGTGGTACTGTCAGTGTGCGCTGTAATGAATACTGAACTTCTCATTGATACAGATGGAGTTTTTTGTTGTTTAATATGTCAGGATTGTGCGTTATCAGAAATCTGAAAGTCCTTCAGGGTGCAGCTCTAATCTCTTTTTTTGGACTCTGTTAAAAGTTTAAAATGGAAAACCACTAAACATGCTGAAGAGTCACTAACCTAGAGGTCCATAAAATTTACTGAGACAGTCTTTTTGTCCAATAGCCTACTCCTTTTTCAAGGAATGCAGTGGCTGAGACTTGAGTGCACCGTTTGTGTGAGCTGTTCTCAGCTAAGGAAACCTGACATTTCTGGATTTTTTTTTTTATTGGATGTCTTCTTCCTGCTCCATCATGTGTTTTGCAAAGAATGTCCTGGGTTTTGCAAATATGAATTGAAAATACATAATGCTAAATACTAAAATAGCTAGTAAGTATTTAATTAACAAGTCTATGACCTCCAAGAGTTAGGAAGTGTTATGTGCTATTCAAGCATCAGAATTAACCACCAATGTAAAATGGGTTGGTTTCTGTTACTAATGGATTACAAAAGCCTTGTGCAGAATCCTCCTTTGATGCGCTAGGATCTAAATGAATCAGAGTTTTATTGTATGTATTTACAGGTGTAATTCACCTGGTTTTATTGCTGTTCTTGCTCAACTTGGCAAGAAACTTCTGAGGGATTACAAGGTAATATGAAAAATTGCTCAAGACCAAAGTGGATAAAAATATATAAAATGCATTGTACAAAAATGAACTCTTGGTGTAGGACTTTGTGCTGTGCGGCTTTTTGAAAGATATTAGAGGAAGTGTGAATTTAATGGGAAAAAAAAAAATACTGCAATCCAAGATAGGTGTGGAGGGAAGACGCTGCTGGAATAACAGGGAACGCAGAATATATTGGCAGCTTCTTTTCAAACTTGAAGCAAGAAAGAAGGGAACTGTGGAGCCAAAGGGTAGAAGCCACAGTGTTTTAGACTGAAAGGTAAAAAAAAAAAAAAAAAAAAAAAACTGGTGGTAAGAGTTGTCCAGTACAGAGCAATGGCAGAAAGGTAAGAGGAGACAAAGGCATGGATTTGTTGAGAGCCTCTAGGTGAGGAGAACATCAGTGTACTACTTAGTTTTTCTTTCCCACTGTCCATACCAAGTTATCTCATCTTTCCACTTAAATTGTGTGTGTAACAGCAGCTGGCTGCTACAAATTACTTTTTATCTTTGGAATTCAAAGCACTTTATCCAGCAGGCCAGTATTATTATCCCCGCTGCGGTACAGAGGGGAAGCGAGACCAGGAGGCAGTGAGTGGGTCACTCTTCTGGCTGCTGTGTAGCCCTGCCTTCATTCAATGGATATTTGCTTAGAGATGACTCACTGATATTTCCGTTAGATAAGTAGATACTGAAAAGTTAAGGGCTAGGAGGTGGATTTAGAAAAGTGTTCAAATGCCTGTAGATCCAACTGCTCATTCTGTAATGCTTTCAGCCGGGCCAGCCCTTGGTTTAGAGGCATAAATGGATGAATAATAGTGGCAAAAGCCAGTTTCATAATTTCAGAGTTTCCTTTCAATCAGGATTTTAAAACTACATGGCAAATATTTCTGAATGTATCATATTTTTGTAAATGCTGGTGGTTGTGATCAGTCCCTTCTGACCAGAAGGAAATGGATTTGTAGTCATATTGGCATTAAAACTTCGACACTGCAGTGCAGCTCAAGACAGCTCCTTATTTTGAGGAAAAGAGTTTTTTCTTGCAGTATTTTAGTGATTGTTGAGGCAAAAGAAGACAGTGCCTTGTTTTTCATAGCATGATGGTTGCTACTAGAGCCTAATGCTACTTCACCATTGTTACCGAATTTCTCAGTCATATGTCAGGAGAAATCAGGAATGTAAAAGTCAACAAGTAAGATCAAGTTTACTGAGTAAATAAAAAATACGTGCTTATCAGCAGAGATCTTCCACAAGTATGTACAGCGCAAAGCATGGGCAGGAAGTCTCACCAAGTGACAGCTGTAATTAAAAAAAGAAATTTAAAAATTCACATCATTCTCTACTCTTTTGTTGATGATAAATTTGTCCGTCTCTCCCAAGATAGTTTTGGTTGTCACTTCATCGCTTTAAAAAGTTTGAAGTTATACAATAGGCTTCATTGTAGACTTGCATAGTAAGAGGAGGGGGGGAAGAAAACAACTTTGTTTCTGAACTGGAGCCAATGGAAGTGTTAGCTAATAAGCATGCAGACTTTGCTTGAGGTTTGAGGTGCCCTGATAGAAGGTCCTGGTTTTCTGAGGACTGTAGCTATCTTGCTTTCCATAAGGTGTCGTTGGAAGAGAATTACTGTATGGGACTTTGGGATGTTCTTGAAACTTTTAACTTTACAAAGCTGAAAATGGCGTGAGCAGTTGTGTGTGTGCTCTGAAGCACCTTGCATCATTAGTGTTCTGGCAAAGCGCATATGTAATTTCATGTCCTGTAGGTGGGATAACTAAACGGATATTTGGTATGTGAGAATGGATTCATTTTCCTTAAAAGATTTGAACTTGGAACAGTAATCTGCCTTTATTACAAACAGAAACATTGACAAAGAGGATGGGCTTCGTAAAAATGCTTTTGGATGCTTTTGAGGGAACTGAATTAGATTAAACCAGTTGGGTTGCAGGCTTATGACAAATGCTGAGTGTACAATTCAGTGCTTGAAGGGCTGGAAATCTTTTTATTTTGTTCAGGTACCTCTAGCATAGTCTGAGTTAAATGGAGAAGATCAGAGAGATTTAAAGGTGATCCCTGGTGCTTACTTGATGTGCAAGATGAAATTTCAGATTTTAGACACGTATCAGAATGAAAAAGGGAAGTATGAAATAATTTTTCATTGCTCATTAAAACAATCTCTCATAAAATGACAAAGCAGTCTTCCCATTTCTCCCCTGACACCTCTGATAATACAATAAGATCACCACTTTATCTTTTTTTCTTGTTATCCATTTGGATAATAGTTACAGTTGTATAGTTACAGCAAGCTTGGATCAGAACGCAGGGGGAAAAAAAAAAAGCCTGTGGGGCTTGGCATGATTTAGCATAATAAAACTCCAGGAAGCAAAGCGAATATTTTCAGGCTTGGTTACCTAAAATTTGATTTACGTTTGTTGTTTTTTTTTTTTTAATGTATGAATTGTCATCTTAATTAGAAATTCTTTTGAGATGCAGAATATCTCTGTTGTCTTTTGAAGCCGGTACTCAGGTTTTCTGAAAACTAGGCTGTTTCTCAGGTTTTTTTAACGTGGGGTAAGATAACTGACTAATACTTTGATCAAAGTGGCCTAAGTTTGGCTAAGAGCTAACAAGGGGAGGACACTGTAACTGTCTGGAAGCAGTTGCAGAAGTAGGAGAGAAAAAATATTTTTTGGTATATTACAAGGATATAAAAAGAAATTAGGATACTAGTGGAGCCCATGATTGAAGTGCCATTGTTTGAGATATTTATAATGAAGCTGGATGATGCATTTTTTAGGCAGTTACTTTATTTAAGTGCTGATAGTATGCTCGGCGCTGCTGAAGACTACCGAAAAAAGGAAGGGGAAGGAGAGAACAGATGACTTTGAACCCCTTCCTCCTGTAGGCCCCAAAGGGTCTGCCCAGCTACCTGTGTGCTAGAGGCTGGGCACACAGATACCTGCACGTTTCCACGCAGCATGGGAATTGCTGTCCCGGTTGCCCCGGAGGACTCACTTCCTTCTTCTTTAGAGCTTCATATTGCTCTGGAACAATATAGATCATGCGTGATAATCTCCTCCCCAAAAAAATCCCTTCCTTACATTGTACGCTTTCAAAATTGTTGGGTGTTTTTTTAATAATTCCTTATATTCCCTGTATTCATACTGGCTTTTCTTCTTTCAAGTTCTGGGCTTCAGCTTTGTGTTGTGCTACAAATGTACTTACGTGAGGAAATATCACTGTGATTGCCTGGAATCATCATTTTGACTTTTGGAGAATATTTTATTTAAGCTAATGAGACATTTTCAATACACTTCACTTCTTTTTTTTTTCTTTTTTCTTTTTTCACTTTTTAGGATGTGAAATGCAAAGCTGACAAACCAGTGGTGGCAGATCAGCAGG